AAAAAAAAAAAAAGAAGAATAAGTTTTTTAAATAAATATAAATATTTTAAAAAAATTTGTTTTTTTATTAAAATAAATAAAAACTCGTGGTTTTAACCATAATTTTTACTTGTTTCCATTTTTCTTTTTTCCATTTTTTCTTTCTCATTTCTGTTTACACTTCAATCAACTGAAAAATAATGTCTATTCATCTCAAATCAGAACACTGAGAAGTTTGCCTCACCTTTTCTTGTTTTTTTTTGTTTTTACCTTTTAAATCAGACCAATAATTAAAATTTTTCATTTATTTTTTCTTTTCTAGTTTTTTACTTTTCTTTTGCAAAAAAAAAATTGCTCAAGTTTTTTTATTGTCTAATAATAGTTTATAGATTGTTCCTGCCGGTGCCAACAGAGTTCCTTAATTTTGTAAGAAAAAAAAAAAAAGATGTTGATGATGATAAACTTCACAAAAAAAATCACTCCAACTTTGATTTTAATATCGTTTCTTTGTTTTTAGACAGTAAAAATAAAATTATTTTCTTGTTTTTTTTTTTCACACTTTTTTTGTACTGTTACTATTGCTATCACATAAACAGCAAACCGGAATTCGGTACAATTACTAAAGGTTTTCATTTTTTGTGATCATCACATTCTGAAGACAATACATAATGATAATAATAGGAACAATAATAATAATAATAGGGTATTAGTTATTGGTATTACTGTTATTATAATATCATTGATATAATAATAATAATAATAATAATAATAATAATAATAATGAAAAATAATAATAATAATAATAATAATAATAATAATAATATTAATAAAAATAATGGTAATTATAACAGCGATAGCAAACCCGTTTTATTCAATAAAATAATGCACTGCAAGCAAAAGTTAAAAGTTGAAGTCAGAACCGAGAAAAGGAAACAACAAGAAAAAGATTGGAGAAAAAACTGAATTAAAAAACGTTTTAAATTAAAATCTTTCTCATGACTTTTTTTTTGCTATATTTAAGCCAAAATTTACAGTCGTTGCTTTCAGCTTTCTCGGTAATTCAGTTTCAATGACAAAGTGAATCTGGTTGAATTTACCAATACATTTGGCATTCAGAATATTAACATAATTGATAATTACTGCAAATAAAGGCAACCATAGAAACCCGACATCGGCTGCCGGAATGATGAAAGCAGCGACGATGGTGATGGCGATGGCAGCAAACGATGTAATAAATTTTTGAGGTATCTGTGCGGTTCCCAGGAATACTTTTAAGGCCGTGACGAAAGCGCTTGTAATCGATGCGGTTTCTTGGATAAATTGTCATAAATATCATCCGTATAGACGACATCATTAAAAATTTTGTTGAAATGTTGCTTTCGACGTGACTCAAAATCGTGTAGTCGTTGATCTGCAAAAATAAAAAAATGTTTGTACAAAAAAAATGCCAAAAATTTCT